TTCAGATTCTACCCTGATCAACATTTGAAGAAATATACTTCCTATCTAACTTGTAAAATGTGCTAGAAGAAAATGTTTGTGGTTACTGGTCCCAAAAAGTGAGTTTTGTTTGCTGCATTTACATTCAAGATTAAAATATTAACAAGTTTGAAATTTAAACAGTTAAAATATCTGGTAATGAAACAAGGGAAATGTGTTTGAGCAAAGGTAAAAATCACTAATCCTCACAGAACTTTAACATAAGGGTTTGAGTCTGAAAGGGAATTAGGGCCTTTGAAAGAGGCTCCTGAACTGGTCACTATATTGTCTTCTTGGGCAAAAACTTCACTCTTATAGTGCCTCTTGGCACACAGGGGTGTAAATTGGTTGAGCTGAACTGTGATGAAAATTTGATGAAATGCAAGGGGATAAGCTTGTGATGGTCACGCAGTCACCTTGCCATCAGGAAGACTCGCCACTAGAGTTGTTGTGGTAGTGGAGTAAAAATTGTCAGGATCTCCTCGTGAGCTTTCAAAACACTTGTTTTGTCAACAAAAATATGCATGCGTTCAATAATATTCCTTGTAATTTGTTTGTTCAATCAAAAAGTTGCAGTCACTATGAACATTCTAAATATTTACAGGATCGAATTCGTCATTCAATAGTCCCTTTGATATCTTCTTGTATCAGATCAAATTGGTGGCTCCTTGATTATTATGCACATTTGACTCACCTTCCGCCATCTTGATAAAACTATTGAGCCTTCAGCACAGCTCTGTGGTTTTGCCTTTGGCATTCCTATGGTGATGCTTGCAAGACTTAAGTTCAAACTTAAGAGTCGCCTAAATCTTTGAATCTATAATGAATTAGCTAGCAACCTTGGTGGCAAGTTTACTGGTGGCCCCTTGGTGGTGGTGAAATTACCTTAGTGGTGAGCTCACTGGTGGTGAGTCTTCCTAGTGGCAAGATAACTGTAAAATATCATGCAGGGGGGAAGGCAAAGTACTAAGCAAAGTTAACTTAAAATCTCTATTCATTAGATGCCTCCAGAACTTCATGATCATATTATATAAGACTCTTATTTACTTCTGAACAGTACCATGAGTTGCGTTGAGAAAAATAATGATGATCAGCTGTGTGGTCACAATGTAAAGATTGCACATACCCTTCCTCATCTGGTTCTGTTGGTCTTCCCTCAGCAAGACTCTTCTCCTCTTTAGCTATGTTGTTGAGGTCATCGTTTTGGTCTGCAAAGAAAGGGCACAGTGTATGTGTCAAGACTACCTGTCACATGAGAGGTGGAACCAAGCTCCCAAAGGGTTGGGGGGGGGGGGGGGGGGGGGGGGGGGGGGGGGGAAATGAGAGAGGCAGCATTAGTAAAAGAGTTTTGGAGTTGGTGGCTTTATTGTTGAAGTAAGTGGTTATTTTGAAGGTGAGATCAGAGGAATGTCTCAATAGAGTAACCAGCCTACATCACCATGTTTATAGTTTCCTATACTCACTGCTGGACAGTTTTTTCAGCTGTAAGGGATATTGGATCAATATCAGTATCTGGGCAACTGCCCACCTACCCCTCCCCTAAACCAACAACAGTCAATTGATGACAAGTTAGGGTTAATGTTGGGTTAGGGGAGGGGTAGGTGGGCAATTGCCCAGATACTGATGCTGATCCGGGATACCTTAGAACTACATCTAATGACCTAAGCTCTTTGCTTCTCTTTTTTTCTGATTTTGTTTTTTCAATTTTCTCTATAACTGGTTTGATAACCTAATACCACCTTTCCAACCAGTCAGAGACAAAATAAAACAAATGCAGGGGTTTCAATAACTTTTTCCATATTCAGTTGCTGATGGTGTAATTGGTGGCTGTACCTTCAGGCAAAACTTTACATGCAGTTCACTTACTGCTTAATACCCTGAGAGCTCAGGGAAAAAACTGGGCAACTCATATAATGTCAACATAATTTGGTTTTCATCAATGGGGTTGATAAAATGAGTTTGTTAAGTATTACTTTACATAAAAGATACTAGGTGCACTCTGATTGGTGAAAGAAAGGGTTCAGTATACCATTAGACTATAGCTGTTTCATAAAACAAAAGGCCACACTTTATAACGGCTTGCCAGCAAAACAACCGATCAACAACCCAACAAGTCTGTAAATCACTCATCTTTGGCTTGAAATTTCCAAGCGTTTCTCATTCTACCCAACATCCTGAGTGAGTTATTGTACTGGTTCACAGATAGAAAGTGTGCCCTACCGTTTCAAAATCAATCATACCTATTGGTCCTTCCTTAGACTCGTCTTCATTGCCAGGAAGAAGCTTGGAGACATCACTTTTCAAAATGTCATCAACTATTTCTGATTCAGGTCCTGAGAGTCCAAGACCTAAAGGTGATATTGGCATTTCTAAATCATCGTCCGTTGCTGCCCCTGAAGAAAAAGTTCGCCATCTTTCGGTTGTGTTCTCTGTTACATTTAAATTTCCCTCGGGCTCTCCTTCGCCCATCTCTGCTCTTGGTGTAGACAGCTGACTAAGAACTCCAAGTTCACCTTCGACTTCCGTTCCTTCTAAATTCTCTTGTTTTCTTTCAGATTCTTGATTTGTTTTTTGTGGTAATTGCTCAGCTTCTAAGGAAGCATCCTTCTCTTTGTGATCTTCTTTGGCGACCGTGTTCTCCTGGTCGTCAGCTGTTGCCGAAGTTGATGAAACGGGCGACATTTCCTGATCGTAAAGAGGACTAGCGTCAGGTTTCGCCTCCGTAATGATATCCTCTTTTGTATTATCTTCCCTATCCCCTGGGGAACTAACGTTAGAACTATCGTTGCTATCTTCAGGCTGTTGTTTGGTGGCTTCTTCGCCGGTTTTTTCTTCATCTTCGTTGTCTGAAATATCGCTAAAACCTGGCGCCCTTGGCGAATCACCGCCATGATGGATTTCAGGTGTCGGTGGCTTTTCTATCTCATCATCTCCGGAATCAATGTCGTCAAAGGGATTTCTGACATGATCACCCATTCTTGCAAGGAACAGATTCTTCTATTCTGAATACCAAACCTTCTTAGGAGATGGAATAAAAACAAACCTCACTTCACACGATCACGCTTCGATACTCAACTCTCTTCAAAACACAATCCTCCGCTCAGTAGCCAAGCCTTCTAGTGGTTTCCAGTCTCCAGTGCTCGCTCACCTAACCCGCCTGTAAGGCAGAGGGTGGACAAGAGGGGAGTGAAGAAAAACAACAAGCTTAGCAGGCTACTGTCGCCGGGTCTTAGCTTGCAACCGGCCGCAGCGTTCATAATCAGACTGCACGTACGATATGAGTAATTAAGTAAGTAACTTAAGTAAGTAAGTAACTTTATTTAACCACATATCGCATATGAGCGAATAGCTGAAAGTTTTTAGTGCAGTATGGATCACACGTAGGAGCCCATTAAGTAATTGGCTCCTGTCACACGGTAATTAACAGAGTCTACACCTTTCCTTAAAATAGGATTTTCTTAATATAGACCTCTCCTTAAAATATGATTTTTTTAATATATAGCCCAGTTTGGTAGACTAATAATAAGAAGAATAAAGAGGCCAAAACAGAGCCTTGGAGAACCTGACTTTACAGATGACCACAACACAAGTTTCAACGACACATCTCTCGCAGTTGGCGATTATAGCGGAGCTCGTAGAGCGTAGCCCCATAATTATACAAAATAGTAGTAACCCATCAAGCCGACCGACGACCGTACGACCGTACAAGGTGCTACTTTTAACATGCGTGGTCAACTGTACCGCGGGCACGCCAACGCCACGCTTTGTTCAGTAGTCCAGTGATCAGTGTACTGGGCTCCGAGTCGGACGACCCGGGTTCCGGGGCAAGCCGTTGTGCCCTTGAGACGTGCGGAAAAAAAAATGCGAGCTCCGCTTTTAGGCTTGGCTAAATCTATATATTAGAGCGTTACATTACAAGTTGATCAAAGCTTCGATTTAGGAGCAGATATTCATCACAGCAAATCTGCCACTGAGCTAACACCTCCTCAACTTTTATTGTGCTCTTCTTAAAGCTTCCAACAGTCTTACTGTATCATTGGGTTACTATCTGCTGTTTTGAAGCTGCAAAAAGGCAAACTATACTGAAATTTACGTAGGAGCCCTAAGGCGGTTCTTTATTGAATCACTCTGTAACGATTATACCACTTGGCACTTTCTATTCCTATCAATTTGACAATCCTTTTCCTCGAGGTGATAAATCAGCCGACAAAAACCTCAACTTCGTGGCTAATGGAATAAGCGCTCAGTCTTAATTTCGTATAACCCATCAGGAGAGCTTTTCAATTCTTTCGGTCATCGCGGTTGTGTCCATCATTTTTCCTGATATACTGTACGTGCAAAGTTCTCCCCTTAACCGGCGAATATTGTAGGGTCTGATGATCTATTGGCGAAATAAGGGACGTTGATCCCCGTCTTTAATTAATTTCTTTCCTTAGAACCACTTAACTGACTTGATCGCAAACATACAAACAGTCATTCAGCTGAGCGTCGGTCTTCTTTTATATTGAAATTGAAATGTTGAAATTCCCGGTCCTTGATTGAAGCCTATTCAATACAAAATTAATTCTGAACACCCTGACACCAGAGGACATGTTATTTTGGCGAAGTGACAGAGTTCATTCATCGTAATAAATGAGAGAGCAAATGAAAGAGAAACTGAAATTCACATTTTCATTTGTATATAAGTTACTTGGGTGAAGACTCGTTGGTGAAAAAAGAAAAACAAATACAAATCCAAACAAAAACAAACAAATGAAAAGAGACATGAAAGTACAAAACAACAAACCATAGAAGGGTAACGAAAATAACGATAAATGAAATGGGGAACGGCATATAATGCTGATTTTGATCCGTATCAGAGCACAGTTAAGTTTCGCAATGGACTGGATTCTAGCGCTGAAAATTTGTTTGATGCGCGAGATGTAAACAATTTTAAAGGTTTTTCTTGCTTTAGTGGACTCAGTATACTGTTACGGTAAGTGTTCATGGGGTAAAATCGCAAGCTTTATTTGAAAAAAATTAAAATTAATTTTAGTCCGTTTACAATAATCAAGGATTTTATGCAGTGACTAATGTTTCCAATTTTCAGGAAGATTATTTAAAAGCTGTTTACAAATAAGACAGCTTGATTGATTACCTAAATACAGTTTCCGATAGAAACATTTTCTTTTACTAAACAGAAAGAATTGCCCTTACACTAGCTAAAATCCTTTTCAAGCAATCAATTAATCCATCTTATTTTCAAACAGGTTTTCAATAATCTGCCTGAAAAAAGAGATTAGTCATATTTTTGCGTTGGTAACACAAACATGGACATCATTTTGATTAAGGAAAATTGATAAAAACCTTTTAGCGGGTGGCTCTGACATTAGTCATAGTTTCTATTATCGAAGGAACTTGAAGAACATTAAAGTAACAAATGGTAATCGATACAAGCGCTTAAATACAAAGAAAATATTTGCACAATTCATGTGCAAAATGGTAGCAGAATTTGTTTTACTTTGCTAAAGGTACTTCGCGTGATACAAAATTCGGCAAGCAATCGGAGAAAGCCATTTCAGTGCACACTTAGAGTTTCAATGGGTTCAGTTGACTTCAGCGTTCTTTTTCTCCAGCGCGGTCAATTGCCGCCATGTTGGCGTTCATAACTTTGTTGAAGTTTGCGACAAAGAGGAAAACTGGAAGAGCAATGATTAAAACACCAAACACGGTCAGCAAACAACCCACCATTTTACCAGAGGCTGTCAGCGGGTACTGATCGCCGTAACCCACCGTTGTAATCGTGTTTACCGCCCACCAAAACGCGTCAGGGATGCTCGTAAAAGCGCATTTTTCGCAACCAGTCTCGGCGTAGTACGCTGCGCTCGATGATACGACGACACTGATGGAGATGAAGATAAAAAACATTCCCAACTCTTTCATACTCGTATAAAACGTAAATATCAATATCCGCATACCACTGGAGTAGCGGGAAAGTTTGAATATCCGTAAAACACGCAGCATTCTTGCCGCGCGCAGCACCGATAACGGTGCACGAGTGTTTTGCATTGTTAGAAGAACATAGTACGGAACGACGCTGATTATGTCAACGATGTTAAGCATTGAGCGAAAAAACCGCAGTTTATGAGGTGCGCTGCAAAAACGAACCACTAACTCGAAGGTAAACCAAATATAACAGGCCATCTCCAAGGACGAGAAAAACGTGCTCCTATTGTTGTTTAAAGAGTTGATGCCCCCAGATGACGACTCAAAACATGGTATAACGACCGAAAGAAGAATGATAATAACAGATAAAACTGCCAGAACTCTTGCTGCGTATGATGATTCGGGATTTGAAAACAACAGCCATATCTTACGTTGTATGAGGTTTTGTGGTAAATCCTCGTCTTTTCCTAAAAGAGCACGCTCGATTTTATCTCGAGTAGAAGTGTAAGAGCTTCGAATTTGGAAGAAACGTACCTCATCGATAAAAACATTCTCAGGCACCATGTCGGGTCTAACTAGTCTCCCATACGACTGATAATAAAACAGAATCGCATCGAAAGCCAGTCTGTTTCGGTTGAAAAAGTATTCGTCATTTCTTTTATCAAAATATTGAACACGCTTCTTTGGACATCCTAAAAGAGTGTCTGGGTACCTCGACAAGGTTTCTTCTAAAGTTTCAAACATTGTTCCGCTTACGTTGATCCTAATTCTTGAACTGGCGGAACTTTCTTTCTTTGTCATCGAGAAAGTAGCGTTTGAAGTCATTGTACCATGATTCTTACGGTTCACTCCGCGGGCTGTTTGCCTTACACGTTCAATTGCGCCGTTTGTCTTTCAATAATATTATTCTTATGCTGTTACTTTGCAGTCTGAATTTTAACGAAGGTGCCGCTCTTAAAATTGACTCCAACCTCGAGAAACACCTCAGGTGAGCGATGTCTTCATATACTGTCTCGCCGAAAATCCGTTTCGTGTTGTCCGTGTCGATTAATTAGCGATTTATTTCTCGCTCGAAGACAAGAACTCACTTTGTGGCGAATTTCTTCCCAGTGAGAGTTTACCCGCGAATTACAATGTAAATATACTTCAATAGTTACTTTAAGCTACAATAAATAATTTAAAATTTCCGACGCATGATCACGTATCCTAAGTTAGAGTTCAAAATGAAAAAAATGTGACAGGCAAATAACTTGATAATTTTAGCTGCGCGAGATCGACGGAATGACAGATTTTGTGGATATTTCTGGCGATGAAGGGGTGCTAGGACAATTAACTAATGCCTAAAGACATCTGCTTTGCCACTTGGGGTTAAATTGCTTCTCTTATAAAAAACCAAGTTTCACCGATTATCAAAATTATTTATGATTTTTGCATAAAATGTAAAAGATAGACGTGCTACTCAGAAAACAGCGAAACATGTGTTTTTTACCCTTGACTATCAGCAACTCATTTGTTTACGCTTAAACACATAGTTGTTGACATGATAGATGTTCTCTATGAATCTTGTCGTTCTTGGGTCTCGCTAATAATGACTTAAAGTTAGACTTGAGGATTTGATGCTTTGAGATTCAAGTCATTTCATACTTATTTACATAAGAGTACCACTCAGTAATTGTAATAATGTATACTGCGAGTTCTGACTTGTATTTTACACAAAAAAAACGAAAACAATTGAGTAATAAACGCACAGAGAAAAGTCTATGAATATTCCTTGCAGATATCGGGCGCCAATGGGGCGATGTGATTCACTTACAGCTTTTATTTCTCCAGGTGTTCGGAAAATTGGAACAAAAACCCTAATTAAACACCGAAATAGCTATTTATAGGCGGCGTATCACAGGGATTCGAAGTGAAACGAGAACTAGTGTAGAAATTGATAGAAAGGCCAAAATGTATTTCGGTCGAGTCTGGAACAAAGTTATAGTGACATGTTTATTGACATGCATCGGGAGTGGAAATAAGTAAAATTAAGCAAAAAAAAAAAATAAAAGCCCGCGAAATACTCTATTAAACCGTAATATATTACATAAAATGGTTTTGAGTAAGAGCTTTATGTTGGGGAAATTTGGCTATCTAAAATTTCTGTACCTTCTAAGGGTTTATTCCATTTAAGAATGGATTCCTGGATCCAGTAGTTGTTATGCGTTTATACATTTACATGTGGGGTTTACATAATTTGCATTTATCACGATTTGGAAGTTTTATTTGCTTGCCATATAATTGAACACAGAATATATTATCAATTGGGATTTCAAGTTTATCTAACAGGCGCTCACAGTGCGTATTTTGTATGTTCACTCCTTGCTGGAGTTCCCTTGATCGCCTATTTATAAAAAAAAAATGGTCTCCTTTGGCTCAATGTACCTTACATATCTAAGAAAACAAGCACACAGATTCTGTCATGTTTATTATTTCTCCCAAAACATTTGCATAACTGCTTCTAACGTAAAATGTTGTGTTTATTCACGGCACTTTTGTTATTGCTAATCCTAAAAGTGTGATGGTTACATCAAAGTTTCTTTTTCCTTCACCCTAAATAAGGTACAATGATAGTATAATTAACAACTATCCACTAAAAGGGCAAATATCCACCGCTAGCCACCGATGCTGAGGTAAATGGTTGTTTTAGTAAACACTAAAACAGTGAGATAACATAGTACAAAAAGATTATTTTAACTTATTTTTTCCTGCAAAATTACAATATTTTCAGGCGCAAACGCTTGCACGAGCTGGTCGGAAGTGAGTAGCAAAGACTATTCGGAGTTTGAGTCACCAATCAAAGCGCGCCTTCAACGTTAGCTATTGTTTCAGTAAATACTGATATATGGCTGCTCAATATGACTAAACATAAGTGATCTTTCTACATTTATGCAAGTGTGGTTGTGTTTTAATCTCATATGGCTGCTGGTCGTCAAGGATCCATTTCTCTCCTGAAGCTGATGTGCTCCCATACTCGTGTTCCACAGTCGATCCTTCCATTTCCATGCTCTTCTTGTCCATCTTGGTCCCACGATCAATCTTTTTTACTAATTCTCTGAGCAGAGCGTTTTGCACCTCCATCATATCGACCAATGTTTCGACGCGTTTCTCAGTAAGGTCAAGCTTTTTCTTAATCTCAGTATAATCCAAAACTACACCGGGGGACGGTTCTTCTTTGGCGCGAGGAGAAAAGTCCAAGCCCGAAGATGTCTTCATTCCAAGAAAAAGCATCAACCTGAATATCGAAGACAAAGAAATAATTTTGTGAAGTGAACATTTTAACCCTTAATTTGACTCCCAAGATGTGATTGTTACTTCTCCCCTCAAGTTGCTATAAATTTTCCTGTCAATCAGTGACGAGAATGTAGTGTTAGATCAAAATGACAACTTCTACCTGATCAGTTTTCTGGCTGGATAATGAATGGTAAAGATATTAAAGAGAAGTAGACATTGCTGGAGTCGTTGTAAAGCTGCTTTTTAGAATTTTCTGACATTTTTGAGATTTACGTGTGATTTTTTATCAGAATGGCAATCACGCCATATCTTTTCCTCAGAGTTCGACGATTTGGCCGCAAACTTACTTCTGGATGGCGAAAACGCCGCGAGATGCACCTCGGGAAGCTGTTTTCGACCCTAACGATATACATGACCTGCATAGCCATCCTTTTAAACGCAGCATTGCGGCGAATTGCGTCGATATCACCCACGGCAAGACCCACCTGTAGGTGAAACATGCAACCG